ACTGATATTACGTAACTGTTCAATGCTCTTTGTTCTGTTGCTTCAAGTCTCCTCTTCATCTGTGAGGAGATTGTCCAGCATTTACTGTGATATAGGAGGACTGATATTACGTAACAGCTCAGTACTCTTTTCTTTGTGTCTGTTGCTTCAAGTCTGTTTTTTATCTGTGAGGAGATTGTTCAGCATTCACTCCCATTGTGAGGACTGATATTACGTAACAGTTCAGTACTCTTTTCTTTGTTTTTATTGCTTCAATATCTTCTTCATCTGTGAGGAGTTTGTCCAGCATTCACTGCCATATAGGATGAATATTACATAACAGTTCAGTGCTCTTTTCTTTGTTTTTATTGCTTCAAGTCTCTTCTTCATCTGTGAGGAGATTGTCCAGCATTTACTGCCATATAGGAGGACTGATATTACGTAACAATTCAGTACTCTTTTCTTTGTTTCTGTTGCTTCAAGTCTTTACTTCATTTGTGAGGAAATCGGCCATATATATTACCATAAAATTATTTACCAAAAAGCACAAGGAAGTTACATTGGTGGGAAAGTGACTGAAGCCGAGATCCTTGATCAGGACCATTAATATTGCAGCTCTTATTACCGTGATGTTTTCAAACATCGCATTTAAAATATGAATATATCATTTAGTTTCTTCGCATATATTGTCTTGTATGTTCTTCCTCGTTTTTATAGGATAAATAAAAATCAAAAACAACTTTTTGATCATTTCACCCCAGGCAAAACAATAAAGTCACTAAGAAGCAAAAGAGTTACTCAATGTGAATGTATATGAGGAAAAAAACATTGTTAATTTAAGAGAACAATAAAAGGACAGGAATTAAGATGGGAGGTCACGATTGATGTTGCATTTAAATTTCTGAAGATCAAAGTTGACTGCAAAGCAAGAAGCCGGAAGAGATTTCCACAAGCGAGAAGTGCGATAAAGTGTCTGTTTGCGTAGAACTTATGGTTACATTTAGCATCTCAACTGTAACTTTGCTGCCAGTCTACTGTGGCGCATATAGACAATAATGAGGATTGGAAAAAAGTCACCTAATATTTAATATAGTGTTATTTATTTATTTATATGAATTTTACAGAGAAGAATTAAAACTTTGTTACTTACAGTTGGATTTTCATTGTTTTTTGGGGGTTTTTTTTTTTAGAAAAATAATTTGTTTTTCTTTTTTAAAACTTTTTTACTTTAAAAAGTTTTCAAAAAGTTTTTAACTATTTCTATCTCCACATGTTGACGCTTATGTTTTGTACCAATGAAAAAAATCAAGGGGCGTAACTGGCTATATATTTCTTTTATGGTAAGGGAGATTTGGTAGAATCTATTTATGCAATGAACTAGCAGCATGGCCTGGCGTTGCCCGTGCTTGATTCAAAAATCGTACGACACATACAGCAATCGCTATCACTCGACTTAAAATATTTTTGCCTTTCCTTGCCTTTAAAGGAGTGCCCTTTGCCGTGCTGATGTTGCTACATGCCTTACTTCTTGCCTATCTCACACTGCGAATTTTTTCTAAGCTCTATACTAAACATTAAATCTGTTACGAAAAAAGAACTAAACAAAATGAACACAAAACGATCAGCTTTAAAAAAAGGACTCGTAACTGGAAAAAAACGAATGAAAAAAGAATGTTAACAACAAATACTTTTTCACACCCAACCCAGTTCTGCGGAATCAGAATCAACGTTGAGTTTAAGCAAGCGAATGAGCCAATTGGAGTAAAGTGCCATGCAGATTTAAATTTTTCCCACTTGTGACAAATGCAGCTGTCGATTTTCTTTGCATGCTAGCATGCTAGTTAACATTCGTGTCAATCAGCCGTTGGCTCTCACGCTGGCCAATAGAATCTTCCTGCCTATTCGTGGCAGCCAGCTATAGGATCTCACTCTGGCCAGTAGAAAATGACCGCAAACTACATGAAAAGTGCCGTAGAAGCATGAAAAAATCGATTATTTCCACTATCGATGGGAGTTGGGAAATGCAAAGTCGGTGTTGGCCTTCCCGCTAACTTGGAGCATGTGCATGTAAATTTTGGTGCAAATCCGTCGAAAATTGCGGCCGTGCATTCGTTACACACACACACACACACACACACACACACACACACACACACACACACACACACACACACACACACACACACACACACACATCCTGCCTTTTATAGATAGAGATTAAGTATGGATTTGAACTTGTTGATGAAAAATGTTTTCTTATTAATCCGCCTTTATTCAGTGGTTCTATAGTCGAATTGGTAGAATGGGAAGACACTTAAATTTGATAGATTTTGTCCACCACATTCCTCTATATGTTGGTTAAGGGATATTTTTTGGTATGGAGGCTCATCATTTGTTGGCGATGAACTGTCATCCGTTGTCGAAGTGTCTGGCCGATTTGTCCAATGTAATGCTCGTGGCAACCTTTGCATGTAATTATGTATATTAAATTCACTGAGTCGCACGAGAAATCATTTTGAATTTTGATCTGTCTTTGAACAGAAATTCATGGCCCTCTAATAGGTAGTTGCATACGCTGCCATGTTGTCGGTTGCATTTTTTCACCTGAGGGTATTTAATTGTGTTCTGCAATTTTGCATTGGTCAGCATCTTTTTTTAGTGATTTAGGTTGTTCTTTTTATGATTGGGTATTTTTGTAATAGGTTTTTCAATTCCTTGTCCTTTAGTAGGATTGGTAGCTTTAGTTCTATGTGTCTGAAGATTTCTGTGTTCTTTGGGTTGAAAGTTAAGATATAAGGGGTGACCTTTTTTTTCTTTTTCCCCTTTTATTTCTCGGAGTGTATGGATGTTAATTTGTTTTGCTTTTTCAATAATATTGTCGACCAAACTTTGTGGATATTTTCTCTTGAGTATGTCTTTCATCCCTTCTAGTATGTGGTCTTTTGTGTTTGTGTATGAGACTATATATATATATATATATATATATATATATATATATATATATATATATATATATATATATATATATATTTATTCAAATTCATAACTTATACATGTGATAAGATCAATACAAAATTGCAACTTAGGGTCCCAGCTATGGGCAAATAGTTAACCTCTAAACTGAGGTCAAAACACTATGAAAGTGTAAAAATAGGTTTTGATATCAGAAATACTTTTTTGTAAAAAATTATAACCAGTAATACATTTTAAAAAAATATTACCAACTATACATATTTTTCAAAAAAGTATTAGCAGCAATAGATTTAAAAAAAAAAAATTTGGTAGTAATACATTTTTTAATAAAAAAATACTAGCAGCAATACATTTTTTGAAAAAAATATTAGCAGCAATAGATTTTTGAAAACAAATTACAGTAATACATTTTTGAAGAAAAAATATTAGCAGCAATACATTTTTAAAAACATATTAGTAGCAATAGATTTTTGAAAACAAATTACAGTAATACATTTTTGAAGAAAAAATATTAGCAGCAATACATTTTTAAAAAAATATTAGTAGCAATAGATTTTTGAAAAAAAAATTACAGTAATACATTTTTGAAGAAAAAATATTAGCAGCAATACATTTTTTGAAAAAAATATTAGCAGCAATAGATTTTTGAAAAAAAAATTACAGTAATACATTTTTGAAGAAAAAATATTAGCAGCAATACATTTTTTGAAAAAAAATATTAGCAGCAATAGATTTTTGAAAAAAATATTAGCAGTAATACATTTTTGAAGAAAAAAATATTAGCAGAAATACACTTTTTGAAGAAAAAATAAAAAATTTTGTCGGCATTAAATAACCCATTGAAGTTGATATGCAGTAAAACAACCAAATCAACTATAGTATTTCTTACACCAAAACAACACATTCTTAGTTATCATACTTACTACAGTCACCATAATACCTCAAAGTCTCTATGAAATCCTAACTAGTCCCAGTATGTACAATTTTTTGACGGAGTGGGGTGATAAAAACAACAATTAAAAAAAAACTAACCCTAGTTTGTATTTGCAATGTATTTTAATATATATTTATAAAAAATAAACAAAATAGTGTTAGTAACAAAGAGGAAAGTTTACCAGAACAATTACCATGAAAGTATTTATATAAAAGGAACAGGGAAGCGACGTTAAGGCAGTGGGCAAATAACTGAAGCCGAGATGCTAGGTGAGCACCGATAACATTACAGTTTCTTATCTATATTTTATCAAGAATCTCTAAATACTTATCAGAGGCAACCGACCAGATGTGGCATCAATATTTAATGCATGGACGAACGGTAGACTTATAAATATTTAAGATACTTTTACGAGCAAGAAGTGCGAGAGAAGAAACTGTTAGCATCGAACTTCCGGTTGCGTCTAGCCATTACCACTTGAAAATGATGAGATCTAACTGCCAATCCAGTACTGTGCTTAAATTCGTAAAATTACTATTTCCAACATCAAAATATGGTATTTTTTATTCTTTTTGTTTTGTTTTCGATGTTTTAAAAGCGCTTTCTAAATGAACAGAAGACCTTTTAGGGAACATTTTCATACTCTTTGGGGGTCCATACTAATGATAATTCCCTTATTGGGTTCCAAAAAAAAACAATAATTACTAAGATTAATAAGATATAATCTTAATTATTGTTTTTTTGGAACCCAATCAGGGAATTATCACCAGAAGAAGAGAATTTAATAAGAAATAAGTTCTCTTCTTTGCATCCTTAAAACTATGATTAAGATAATTTTCTCTGGGTTTCTGACAGTCTTCCTCCTCTTTTTCTCTTTGGTGTTTTATTAATGTTAATTATTATTCATGCTAAACTGGTTTTTGTATCGGCACAGGGTATAATTTGCGTAATTTCTGACCGCTATGTTATGCTAATAATAAATAAGCAGGCGTTAAAAATGTAATCAAGTGTGAACATTTTGTCCAGCAGAGAGGTGTGACCACATCAGGCAGATATTTAAACGGATGGGATATTTTTTCTCCCGGACAAAGTACCAGTAAATAAAAGCTTCAAAATGCAGACGATAGTCATCCTGTTGGTCAATATAGTCGTTTTGGTAAGTACAGCCATTTCTTTCGATTACTTTCAATCAAAAAAGAGAAAAAAAGCCCCATCTGACATTTTTATTTATTTACTTTAAAAGAAAATTCATATTTTACAAAAAACTAGTTCACAGAAAAATTTCCTTAGAAACAAAGAAAAGATTACTGAACTGTTACGTAATATCAGTCCTCCTATATGGCAGTGAATGCTGGACAATCTCCTCACAGATGAAGAAGAGACTTGAAGCAAAAGAAACAAAGAAAAAATTACTGGACTGTTACGTAATATCAGTCGTCCTATATGGCAGTTAATGCTGGACAATCTCCTCACAGATGAAGAGGAGACTTGAAGCAAGAGAAACAAAAAAAAGAGTACTGAACTGTTACGTAATATCAGTCGTCCTATATGGCAGTGAATGCTGGACAATCCCCACAAAGATAAAGTAGAGACTTGAAGCAACAGAAATGTGATTCAACAGAAGGATGCTGAGGATACCATGGACCAAATATGTGAAGAAAGACGAAGTTTCGGAGAAAATGGAAATAAAAGGACACTTATACCCCTGAAAGAGACAGTTAAAATTTCTAGGGCACATAACGAGGAAAGAAGGTTGGAAAATCTGGTACTCACAGGGCAGTTTGAAGGCAAGAAGGGCAGAGGGAAACAATGCATAAACTACCTGGCGAACTTCAGTACATGGATGGCGGAACAAGGTTTAGGAGAAATAACAAAAAGAGAAAAAATATTAAGAGCTACAAATGACAGGAGATTGTGGAGAGCCTTGATCGCCAACGTCCTGAAGGGATATGGAACACAGAAGAATTAGTCTCGTATCCGTCGCTTCGCTGACGGCAAGATGGTTGAATTTCAAATCTAAATTGTATGTCCATTAAAAAATACTACATTTATTAGAAAATTCAACCCTCGGTTGCTTCAACCGTTGTGGGTGGATGACAAAAGGAGAAAAAAACAGACTGAGTTTTCTTCCTCGTGATCCGTTCAGTGAGCTTTCCTGTACTTTGGCGGCACCCATCTCCTCTCCAAGTTCTTGACCGACAGCTGAAGATCACGGAATATAGTGTTGGTCACCCTCAGTGTTAGGCATTCAGGTTTTGAATTCAAAGTTGTCCTACACCAGTTACCATCCAAGGCTATAGGACCCAGTTTCTCCTGCTATTTTACCCATAGCTGAGGGAAGAAGAGATGGATAAGCGAATGTAATGAACTCGATTGGAATTCGAACTCGGCTCATTGATTACTCAATCTAAGCCGCTTATCCGTGCCCCCCCCTTTAGAAAACATATTCAATTTAAATACAGGAGGAGTCATAAAAATGGTTTCAAAATCATTATCCGGTGCCTGGGGGCGCCCCCAAAAGGTGGCTTGAGCAGTTTTTGAACGGCTTCCGAAATTCCGCATTAAACTCGATCTTTTATGACATTTTGTACAACGGGAGCATACGAATAGATAAATAATTAAGTCTTTTCCTGTTACCCAGGGTCACGGACAGAAAGCGAAATGAGCCCTTCTGGCACATGATGACTATTTGGTTTACATTCAAATTGTGTGTGTTCGTTTGCATGTGCACATGTATATTTTAATTCGATGACAATCCGAAAACTGCTTCTTAAAAAATTTTTTTTAAAAAAACTTTAAAAAAATAAATTTTATTCCTTACCGAAAAGTTAAAATTAATCTGACACTGTTTAACCTTCGTGTCAGCAAAAAAAGAAAAAAACAAAAACAAAAACAAAAAAATAAATAAAACGGTACGTCAAAAGGACAGTTGTTCCCTTGACACCGCCATTAATGTATACACTTTTGATTTCCTCAGCAATGTTTATCGGTTTAAAAATGATTAATGATTTAATGATGATTAGAATTTTAATAAAACCCAAACACATGAAAATGGATTTTTAAATTTTCCTTATTCTTGAGAATTGATAAGGAAGATATAAAACATTATTTATTTATTAGATTGCTTATTTACAAGAATAATTTTATATTTACAAGACTGTAAAAATAAAAAAAAAGTCAGTTATGTGCCATGCGTGATACATGCTCACGCGATCATGTATCTTTCGATACATGACTGACGAGGCAGATTTTTTTTCCGCAGTAAGTTGCCATTTCTTTCTGCGGTAGACCAATTGCCATCCAAGGCTATAGAACCCGGTCTATCCATCTATTTACTCATAGATGGGGGAGAAGAAGAGGATTCATACCTTTCCCAATGGTATTAGCACGTAAGTGAATGTAATGAATTCGACTGGCATTCGAACTCGGCTCTCCGATTCCTCAATTAGAGCCGCTATCCATTACTTATACTCATATTTATTATTCACCGTTTTTTGAAATGGTAAATAAAATATGAAAATAGAAATAAATATGAAAATATTTTTATACATAGATTTATAAAAATCCATGTAAACAAAAACATTTAAATAAACACACAGCGACGAGTAAATTCTGAAAAAATGTATTTGCCATACATTTCTTTCATTTCACATAAATTCGTTAGAATTAGGCTGAGAGCATGTCTTCCTCTGAATCATTCTTTAAATTTTAGATTTTAGGCAAGAAAAACACAATATTTTTAGTATATATCTCCCTGTTAATTAAGTTTTCCTTGCATTTGATTACAGAATGTCTGTAATTTTTACCATGTCTTACCTTTTAAAAATTTATTTTCATAGTTATTTATAAAATGATAAATAATAAATATTGCATTGTACATATTATAATAATTTTGTAATTTCTTATAAAGTTTTTGATTAAAAAGATTTCTTTTCAAATTTCTTTTTGTTATAAAATAGTAAATAATAAATCTTTATAAAAGGAAAATAATAAATATCACATTGTACTTGGTTGACCTGTTTTTATAAACTTGTAAATAAACATTGTCGAAGTATATACAGTAATAGCGGTGTCAAAGGAATAAACGTCTTTTTGACAAACCTTTTTTGCGGCCACAAAGGCTAAATATTGCCAAAAATGTTATCTGATTATTTCAAGTTTAAAAGTTGATTTTTATTTTATTTCTCAAATTTACGATTTTATTGCTCAGTCTTGTGTAAGGGTTGTCCAGAAGAGCAAAAGCAAATGTATTATTCGAATGATTTCTTTCTTTCTAAAATGGTAAATGATAAATCTTTATAAAAGGAAAATAATAAATGTCACATTGTACTTGGTTCACCTGTTATTATAATCTTGTAAAGAAACTTTGCCGAGGGAGTCAAAAGTGTATACAGTAATAGCGGTGTCAAAGGAATAAACGTCTTTTTGACACACCTTTTTTGCGGCCACAAAGGCTAAATATTGCCAAAAATATTATCTGATTATTTCAAGTTTAAAAGTTGCGATTTATTTTATCTCCTAAATTTAGGATTTTATTGCTCAGCCGGGGGGTAAGAGTTGTCCAGACTGAGCAAGAAACGAACGTATTATTCGAATGTTTTATTTCTAACTCAAACTGTGTTTGTGCCTGGTCTTGCGTGAACATTACTGTATTTTTTGCGCGTAATACGAGAGGCTATGAACGAAAATTAAAGGCAAAAAGCGAAAGAGGTGTTATACACAAGTAAGCGTTTACAGATATTTTTATTCAGCTTAAAAAAAAACTCTTATTTGAAACAGAAAAATACACCCAGTCATTCATTTATACAAGTCACCACTCTCCTCCATCTCAGAATTGCACTTCAAGATGACATTCAAGGAAGAATAGTGCAATGACTTACCGTTTTCTTTTGCACCGGAGATATTGAGGTGACTCCGTTCATCCTGTCAGAGGTTAAAGACGCAAAACCTACAAGACAGCAGGCGGTTTGAATTCAGAGTTTATAGAGGCCGTGCTGTAGATAATAAGACACAAAGTAGACAGGTGTTGTTGATAACAATTGTTTACAAATTTGATATGTCGGCCATATTTGTTCTTTTGAAATCAGCGTAATTTAACGTCTGTTGTCTCAAAGACAGGAAATTCACTGAAATTGATTAAATAAAAAATTAATAAAGAGAAAACCCAATATCTGTCATGTTTTCATAACAATGTTTTAACAATGGCCAAACTGCTGGAATTTAATTCGAGAACAATATTTTATAAGTTCACATTCTCGCTATTTTTCTATCCACATTCCAACCTCTTTTTAATTTCAAAACCGGCTGCTCAAGGCCTTGATTCTTATCAGAGATAAGAATATATTTTCTAACTAACGAAAGAGCTGGAAAATATAAAAAAGAATTCCACTACCATTATTCTTTCCATGGTGCCATAAAGTGTAAGGGAAACCTCACAGCTTGTTCACTTCAACCTGTTTTCATTACTTTCAAAATCGGCTTCCAGAGCCCTGATTCTTATTAGAGATAAGAATATATTTTCTGGCCAATGAAGGGGCCAGGAAATTTGTATAGCGATTTTGGAGGGTCCCTGATTCTTTTGATAACAATTGTTTACAAAAGGTATTTGATATGTCGGCCATATTTGTTCTTTTGAAATCAGCGTAATTTAACGTCTTTCAAAGACAGGAAATTCACCGAAATTGTTTAAAAAAATCTTTAAAAAAAGGAATACACAAGATTTGCTATGTTTTGTACTTTTTTTTCCCTTTTTTTTTCCAATTTTTATTTTTATTTTCATAGTTTAAGTTTATTAATATATAGAAATATAATAAAATCATATCAAACAGAAAAGCATGATTGATTAATTAACATATAGAGAGGCCAAATTCATTCTCTATAGTACCATTTATTGTTGACTCCATAAAATTTTTAATGAAAATTAAAGGCCTAAAACGGGGCGGGTGTCGTATTATATACAAGTAAACGTCTACAGAAATGTTTACTCAGCTTTAAAAAATAACTTATTTGAAACAGCAAGATTGCAAATACACTCAGAATTGTCGTCGGAACCACTCATGTCCGAGTTTGGTTCATCCGTTGTTTCCATGAAGCTTAAACCTTGACATGGCTCAGGAGGCTAAGTAGAGTTCACGAGGTAGAAGCTTCCAACGTACC